CTCTCTCTCTCTCTCTCCTCCTCCTCCTCTACCTACTGAGGAGAGAGAGAGAGAGAGAGAAGCCTCGCGATCATTCAAGTGCGAAGTCTTGGTTTTTTTTTTTTTTATTTTATTTCACGTGCACGCATGAAATTTGCACGATTTGCCGATTTTAATGGAGACGAGGCGATCGTTAATAGAAGGTTAAATAAGTTAATTATCGTAATTTTGTTGAATCGAGAGAGATTTTCTTTATATGCGCGTGTATATATTTGCGTTTCACTTTGGACACGACATCTTGCCGAAATTCCGTGGACTATCGTACGTGGCACGTTGCGTTAATTACGCGGAAAATTTGAACTAAATAGCTGACCTAATCGTGCCGTCTTCTCGCACGATCCTGGAATTCCACGGAGTTCCACTACGTAACGTTGATATTCATTGAATTCATTCGTTTCGTACGTACGATTTAAAAAAGAAAAAAAATATTAATTTCTATATCGTACACGCTTCTTTGTAAATTTCGCATCGCGAATTCGCACCTTCCAAGTTGAGACTATTCTATTCGTTGAAATTTGTTTCGTTTCAAAATATTGATTTCTACTTTGGTCGAACGAACGTGTAGACGTGAACCGACCAAACGACTGCTCCGGATCGAGCGCGTCGAGCTGGCTTAATTGCTGCTCGTCCATCGATTGTTTTTTAATATAACAGCGAGAGAGAGAGAAAGAGAGAAGCCGTGGAGAAATCCGTAAAGAATTTTTAAAATTCTCTCGACAAAAATTCGGTCGTCGATGTACGTGTGCACGATTAAATCACGATGTATGAATATTTATTAATAAGGTCAGGTCGAACGCGGAATAATAAATTGCGACGAGAGGCGCGTCGTTGCGAGCGATCCGACGTAATTAACGATCGTTAACGCCGATAAATAAGTAGCTAGGTGGAAAATGACGACCTTTGCCATTATTTTCGTTTGCACAATTCGCTGAAACGAATCTCTTTTCATCGAAATGCAGTCGCATTCCTTGGTAGTGTTAAATGCTCTTTGCAGATCCTTATTCAAATTTTGCCAGGTTCGAACGAGTAAAAATTAAACGACACGGTTAATTGATAATCGAGAAGCGATTCGAGAAATCGAGATCACACCGACGAAAGAATTGTATCGTTGTATCGGTTCTTCGACGGCCAGATGCTATTCCGAGCTGCAAATTACAAAGCGGGCGCAACGATTAACGAGACAACCGCGACAGCAGTTAGAATGGCAGGCCTATTAGCGCGACACTTTGCGCCCATCTTACAGCCATTCTCTTCCGAACTGGCGCGCACCTGAGATCGCTATTAACTCGAACACCGACTCGCTACAAATAGGACGGAAAGCGTAGTAAGTGCGAAATTCTTTTTTCGTGTCCTACCTTCATTCACGTGTGTATATGTATATATATCTTAGAGTCGAGGATATTTTCGATCGTAATTTATTACGCTTTTATTACATCTATATTAACTCTTGTTGTTAACAGATTCGTTGATTTCCAAGGAACTTTCGAAATTATCTTCGACTTATATTCGTCACGCGTAAAGATCCTTTCTTGAAACGAGTTTCGAAGGTCGCGTGTGACGAGTGCTCTTACCTATCGAGCAACGATCGACGGATAAGACGAACGATAATGGATGAAAGGTATAATAACACGGCAAATCATCCATCCCTCCGACTCGATCAATCTCGAGTATCTCGAGCCAGTCTCCTTTCAGAAGCATCTCGCTCAAACTCGTTTACGATCACAAAGGAGGAGGAGGAGGAGGAGGCCGATTGGCAAATTTCGCACGTTTCAAAGTTTAATCCCGAGGAGGGTGGTGGAGAGGAAAAACGTGGATGCAACAAAATCATAAAATCGATCGGCCGTTTAATAGAAGGAAGATTGGTCGTTTCTCGAGAGTAATTCCGTTCGAGAGGCGAGGTTCGCATGATTGAATCTCCGCGCAACTCTGCGAGCCATTTAAATAATTCTCCCCAAAGTTTTATCGGCCGATTCGACTCCTCTCCCAAGATACGGGAACTTGGCCGGGATGATCTCGAAAGGAGGGGAGGGGGCGGCGGTGTTTCGTGTCAACACCCTTCGTCGAAGAATTCGAGTTCCTCGAATAACAAGAGGCGGCCGAGTGGCCGATTCTTCGAAAATCGATAAACATGGAGATGGCGCGAGGGGAAGGGAAACGGGCGGATTAAACGATTGAAAAACCGATTTGGAAAACGATCGACCGGCCGATATCGATCCCTTTATCGGGCCTATATTTCCATCCCC